TTTTATAAGCACTGCTACTGTGAACATTCTTGTACATTTCTTCCTATACCTATATAAAAATTTCTCTGTGGCATATACTCATGAGTCAAATTGTTGTGTGTTAAAAATGTACATTTTGAACTTTAGTAGAGTAAGCCACCTTGTTTTTCAAATGGTTTTAGTAATCTCTGACAGCTTCTGTTACTCCACATCTTTGCCCAAACACTTGGTATCATCTAACATGTTTTGACTTTGGTGAGTTCATAATAATAACAACGGTAAAGCCATTTCCACCTGGTTAGCAAAATTGAGCTTATAACTCAGGTTCATCAGATTCAACTTATTCTTTCCAGTCTCCCAAGAGAAGGATCACTTACCCAGAACTAAGCCTCCTTCAGTCCCTTTGGCCCCAGTTCTTTGTCCCCAACCTCAGAATGTCCCTGCTGCCCACATGACTGCACATTGCATTCATCACTACAGACCTCAAGCTGAGAAAGATCTTTTCATTTGTGTATTCTTTTCATTCACATCTTAGGAGGGTGAAAGTGAGAAATGAGTCAGAACCTCAAAGAGAAATCGGCCTTCCAAGTGCACAGTTAGCCAGCAATGGAGGGACCTGAGAGGAGCATACACAGAAGGAGCAGAACTTAGAAGCTTCTGTCTGCCCAACTTGTCAAGAGGGCTTAGTCTTGGCCAAGCCAAGTTTAGCACAGAATGGAGTGACTGTGTTGGTGTGAAGCGAAGGAGGAAGATCCTGGGGTTAACCATTTTTGACAGAATAATTGCCCAGGATGTCACTCTTGCTGCTTTTGTAAAAGTCAATGCACTGAATTTTCTGGGAGGGATGCCAACCAGCTGTCTCTCTTATTGTGGAGTCGGGCTTACTGTTGTGGCCCTAAGATTGTTCAGATCAACCACATGATCATGGCCATCTAGGATGGTGTTGAAGAGGTAGATGATGGCTTCTCTTGCCTTTTCTCCTCTTTCCTCCCCTTTGGAGCTAGGAAATCCTAAAGCTCTGGGTAAGCTATTGGGAGCCAGCCAGGGCTTTATAAAGCCCCCAGGAGCCAGCCTGAGGAATAGTAAGAGCAGCATGGTAAAGAGGGTGGGCTTTCATTTTCTCATCCTGGTCGATCTCCATGTTGTGGAATCCTCTAGATTGTGTTTGATGATTGCCTGGACATCTTGATGCTGGAGATAGGAAGCAGTAGCTGTGCTGAGCCAGGATTAAAGCAGTCCCTCAGCAGAGTTGGCCTGTTGTAGAGAATGAGGAGGACAATGCAACTCCCACTGTAGAATTCTAATGAGTTTCTGCAAAACCATCATTTTGTGTCCAAAGAGCAAACAGACCTTTTGTCTACTCTGGCCTATGGTGGTGAGTACACAGTGCAGTTGTGTGGGTAGGAGGAGCATCCTGGGTTTGGAGATGAAGACATGAGACCCAGGGGTCTGAGGGAGGCTTAGTTATGGGTGAGTGAATGGACCCTTCTCTTGGAAGACTGGAGAGAATGAGTTAAGGTGAGTTTGATAGGCAAAAGATGTGGGCTCTGGTCTGAGATCTCAGAATTTGCTCTCCCTGCCCCCTCCCAACATGCTACAGAAGGGAGGAAAGAGATGGGCAGGTGGGATATTAGAGGACTTAGAGAGTGGTTGCAGTGTGAAGTCATACTGGTAAGCTGGGATAGCACATCTGGACACAGTTTTGCTTAATTGATATGAGCAGCTCTCTTATAAAAAGGCACATGCTTTCCATTAACATTATAGAAAAAGTCCCTAGAGACATGTAGTAAATTGCATCTCTGAACTTCTACAGACTCAGCATTTTGCTTGTAAGTAAGGTATATAGATTCCAGCAGGCCAGTGTTCCATTCCCTCTGATAATAAGCAGGAAAAAATGGATAAATATGATTTAAAGGCATCAGAGTGCTACAGAAATGATGAAGACTAGAGAGATTGAAATTCCAGGGAGATAAAGGAGGACCACTCAAAGATGAAATTGGCAGCTCTCTCTCTTGAGAGCATTTGCCAGTTCTGGATGCAGGCTAAAGATGGACTTGGCTCAGATAGAGAGATGCTGCTGGTGGAAAGAGAAATAGGCAAAGCATTTAGCAGTGATGTGCCTTTCAAATTCATGGCTGATTTTCACCACAAGATATTTTCTGAATTTCAAGTCTGTGCCAGAGTGCAAAGAGTAGGGTACACATTCCTGAGAGGCAGAGTAAAATTCTCAGATTGACTGTGTGAGTGGAGAGCAAAGTTTTACAAAGGAGCTGGAAAAAAAATAAGAGACTTAAAAGGCCCAGAGAGAGTGGGGAATTGACTCTGGACACTTACATATCCRTGCACCTGGGCATTTACTGATTCTAGGAGCAGTGAGAGGCTTGGGCATCCAGCGTTGGTCCCTGCTGCTACTTGGTTTGCTGCAGGCAGAGAAACTTGCACAAATCTTGATGTTTACATGTAGCTTGAATGACAAAATGAGAGACTTGAGTGGCTCTAAATATGTGGCCAGGCCCCTTCAAGATTTGCTAAATTATGAAGATATATGGATTTGAAGGCTACAGAACTGAGTCAAAAACTTCTTAAGGACAGTATTGAATCTCTAGCAGCCTTTCATGGCAGAGGAGATGAATATCTACCCAGGCATCAGTTGAAATCACTTAAAGGTCTGCCCTAAACACAGAGGTGAACCAGAGATAGACTGAGTTTTACTAGCACTGAACCTCAACCCTGAGAAGTAGGAATATCCTATYTACCTACTTGTCTAGCAGAAAAAAAGGGAACATTTCCCTGGTAGAAGATGTGGAACCTTAACAATTCTTTTATACCCATTTTTCAACATACAGTAAAAAATTACTAGACATGGGAAAACGTGAAACCATATATACTTAGGACAAAATGAAACCCCAGATAATAGAAACAGGTTAAGATATAATCCAGATGTTAAGAGTTTTCATTAAGGACTTTAAAATAACCGATTAGTGTATTTAAGGAAAAGGAGGAGGAAAATGGATGAAATAGGTGATGGGAAGAAGACTAAGAATTAACTAAGTCTCCCTAGAGACTTAAAATTTATTCAAATGGATATTCTAGAACTAAAAAAAAATTGCAATATTTGGAATTAAGAGGTCAGTGGGTAGATTTAACAGCACAGTTGGTTCAATATCAATAGCCAAGGATGGTGAGCTAGAAAGCAAATCAGTAAAAAGTACCGAAATTGAAGCAGGGAAAACCAAGAAAGGAGGGAAAAATAATTGGTGGTATAAAAAATGCTGGACACACTCAGCAGGTCAGACACATGTGTAACTGGAGTCCTAGAAGAGGCAGAGAGATAGTGGAGCAGAAGCAGTGTCTTGGAGGGAGAGTTAAGAAGGTGAGTGAACCTCCAAGCAGGATAGATGGATTCTGCTCTTGAAGTACAGTAATACATACTTTCTACCCTTTTAGTCATTTTCTAGTTTTATCACTTTGAACAAGTCACTTGACCTTGATGAGCCTCAGTTTACCCTTCTGTAAAAATAAGGTTTAAATAAAAGATTCTCTGAAAAGATTCCTTAGAAACAATTACATTCTAAAGAAATACCAGAGTGTCACTGTCATAATTACAGCTTGACTGACTCTGGGACAGCCTGGGGCAAACTTGAGAGCTGTGCCCCATACTCTCTTCAGTTTCTGTCTACTGCCATTCAAGGGGACTTGTGTGACTCACCTCGGGTCATAGGTCTGCAGTGAAGTCAGGCAGATGAATGATTTAAACCCATCAAGTTTCTGGATGTGTCTAGGCATTATTTTGTCCTTCCCAGATCCTAGAAGTTGGAAAATGACCAGGGTCAGTGTTCTGGGATCGTGAATCCATTCTGATCCACTTTCAGCCACATACCTTCCCTAGGTCTGCCTTGGTCCTGCCATGTCAGTCCTTCCTGGGGCTGAGTCAGAATTCCACCAGCCCCAAGGTCTCAGAGCCATTCTCCTATACCAGCCCGTGGTTTAGATCTACATTTTCCACAGCCCTCTCCTCTGCCCCATTTCTTGATTATGTCCAGTGATAGCAGGCAGGTCACTTTACTGTGTTTACTAGCTTTATATCTTTGGTTAAGCTGAAGGCCTGACATATAGTAAATGCTGAATAAATGTTTATTGAGTGAATGAATGCATGGTGTGCTGGATATCATCCCTTTACCCCTCTAGATCCATTCTCTACCCTTCTTCACTCTGTTCTGGTTCCTGAGAGGCTAACCTGCAGATGACATCAATGAGCTCCCAGGTCCTTTTACTTCTGGATGGGTTTGGCAAATAGCAAATGAAGGTMAAAGGGAGATAGTGGATGGTATTTGTTCCCCTGGCTCTTGTTCCTGTGCTGGCTGTGTCCCTCAACAGAAGGTCACCTCCCTTTTCAAGGCAGCCTGCTCCATATGATCCTCCCTTTTCAAGGTGTGTCTCCTTTCCATTCAGTCTTCCTTTTAGGTCAAGAGTAGTGAGAGCTAGCACCAGGGTCCTATTCCATCCTTTACAGTTTCTGCCTTGCTCACACCTATATAATTACTGTCCTTATAAATTAACTCTCCACAAATTATCCTAATTGGAGTGTACCTTTCCTTCCTGCTGGAAAGCAGCAGGCTCTAGTTGCTTATGGAGATTTAAAATGGTTGAACTGGACACTGGAGCTGCAGGTGATTAAAACAGGTATGTAGATCAGTTCTTCCAAGAAAGTGTGCTATGGCTACCACTAAGGGTGCTCTGATGTGTGGCTATTTGGGGACAATAAATAGCAGTTTGGGATACTATTCTTGACTTACGAGAGGCATTCTCCCACTGATAACATGTAAGATCTTATTTTAGACTGTCTATTTAGTGTCTGAAATTGCCTCTTATCATTGTTGTGAATCTGACTCAACATGGGATGTGCCAGAAGAACATAGGACCAAATATAACAGGGCAAGATAAGTACGCTGTAATTTTAAGACGTGACTGTGGTGTCCAATTCAGTGTTTACATTTCTCCTCTCGAATGTTTTCCTGCAGGTGATCATAAACAGCACAATCACGCCGAATATGACCTTCACCAAAACGTCACAGAAGTTTGGGCAGTGGGCAGACAGCAGAGCCAACACCGTGTTTGGTTTGGGGTTTTCTTCTGAGCAGCAGCTGACAAAGGTACATTCCTTTATACAGCATAATAAGCACCACCTCAGATACCGCTCTCATTCAGAAATTGCCTACTGAGGGATGGAGTGGTGCTTTCAGTGAGCAAGAATCCTTTTGGTCTTGCACTTCACCCTTTTGGCATCACAGAGCTGCCAATGCAGATGCCCTTCCCCAAATACCAGGTTCCTTGAAAACAGGAAATCCATCTCTTAACAAGTGCCACTTCAGGGACTGAGGTTGCAGCATAAGGAAGCAGTGAGTACAGTCCTTCCTGTCCTCCAGTGTCTGCTTCTGCCTTTTGTGTTGTCTGGCAGGGTTAGTGGGCTTGTCTGCCCAATTCTTGTCTACTAGATTTTCAGGGTCCATGTGAGGAAAGAGTTGTCGGCAGATCCTCACCCCCAGACTCCTGAGGAAGAGACTATGATCCTGCTCCCAGCAGCAGTGCATCTTGATGGAACAAGCTTGTTACATCTTTTAAAGGATAGCACAGTTTGTCTTTGACTTTCATCGCTGTCAGTGATTCTCTGTTTGGAGCCCTCAGAAAAGGGGAGTAAGATAATGCTTAGTAGGAGTTTCTAGCCTGGAGTCCCCACACCCCTTAAAATGCTACACAGTGCTGTGTATGTGTGTGGGAGGTGCTCCCCCCTCCCAAGAGAGGATTCATAGCTGATTCATTCTCCAAGGATCTAGACACACCTGAGAATGACTAGAAAGGTCTTGCAGAGCAGATCATAGCTGACTGCAGAATAGGGGTAGCTGAGGGAACAAACTGATGRTCTCTGAGCATCCTTACTCAGCCATTTTAAGGGGGCTGAAAGCCTGTTTCAGGAGAATAAATTTCCTTTTAGGATTGTAAGTATTAAGAATGTTTGAGTTGAAGTAATATTGACTAGTTTATATGACATAGGAATTTATTAGAAGAATGTCAGAGTATCTCAAGGAATCCAAGGGAAAGTTGAAAAGCTAGGCCAGCTAGAATTAGGCTGGTTTCCAGAAGCATGGCTGTAGAAGTTTTCTCATCTARACTGTTGCCATTAATGTCTGGCTGACTATCTGGGCAGGTATTTATTGGGCTCCTGCTCTGCTGACACTGTGCTAGGCACTGAGGGTGCAGAGACATCATCCCTGTTCCTAGGAGGAGCTCCATAAAATTCCAGATTCTTGGGGAATTGCATACTACAGCCTCAGCTATTTGAGTTCCTTTGTGTACCATGTTGTGAGATGGAAAAGAGGAGCAAGAGCCCTGAGGGCAGAGAGAATTTATGTAAACTGGAAGCAAGTGTTCTTGATGGTGACTGGCAGGGTGAGCAGCCAGAGCCTCTGTCTGGAGTGGACAAGGGTTTGCATGGTTTTCCCTCCAGTAGAGGTGCCCAGTAGGGAAGGGAATGGTGGGAGCACCCCACTCCCCAGGGCTCTCCCAACTCCCTCATAGCCAGAGAAGGGGTTTGGGAACCTCAGACTGCTGGGGAGGTTCCTGGGTCCTGACTGGGCTCATCTTCACACAGGCTCCTGATCTTGTCCAGGACCAGAGGTTCCTTCCTGAAGCTCGGGATGGATTGAGAGAATCAGTGATAGCTTCCTGGAACAATTTCTTTAGTATTCAGAGGAACTGAAGTAGCTAGAAGGATAAAGGGAGAAAGTTTCTATGAAAAGAATCAAAAGCAAAACTCCAGACAAAAACCTAGAACAAGTTGTTGAAGTTCAATTCTTTGTGCCTCAGAGAGCTGAAGAGACCTTGAGCTGTGCCTGCCTCCAAGGGCAGCCACTTCTAAATTTTCTCAGACAGAAGAAAATGTCCTATCATTAAGGAGGAGTGTCCTGTCTTCCTGAGTCATTCAGTCTCTGGCAACACTAGAGTCTCTGCTCTTTGACTGTGACCTGTCATTATTATAAAGACTTCTCAAATAAACTCTTGGGTGAATGTTTCCTTTGTCCAAAATATTTCAAATCAACTTTCTCCATTCTCTTTGAAGGGAGCCATTAACCACACACTGATAAATTATCATGAATTGAAGCTGGCAGTCTCGACAAGTAGCAATTAGCTACACTGAAGGAACTTGGGCCTAAAGGGTTCCCAAGGCATGTGCTGAGGGACATCTGTGGCTGAGTATTCCTGACTTCCCAGAGCTACCACCCACAGACCCTAGGGGAATTGGTGATCAAACACTCCAGGCTAGAGAAAGGAACCAGCGTGTGCATTTTCATTTAAGAACACTTTATGCCTACTTCTCTCTCTGACCCCCAAAATGAAAATAGATACCTTGGTCTTAACAGCTGTCATTATAAGGACCACTTCACAGCCACAGTCCAGAAAATATTTCAGGGAAACTTTCTACTCTTGAGACAGCCTTTACAAAAATAATAGATGCTGTTTGTTCCCAGAAATAAACTGGGACTCCTCTGTCCACCCACTGGAAAGAYGCAATACCTCAGCCCACTAAAGAACATTGAAAAGGAGCTTGCATGTTCAGATAAAAGGAAGAGCTTATGAAAAAAAGACAAAAGGAGAGAGAACCAAATATAAGAATGAACCAGTTATTGAAGTTTAGATTCTTTCTGGCATCTGACCTCAAGTTGTCACTGTTCTAAGTTTGGCTTTATCTCATTCATAGAAGGAAACACATTCTTCCATTAAGGAGAGCAGTCCAGGATGAAGTCATGAGTGCTGCATGGCTTGATTTTTTTTTTGGGGGGGGGGCTGGTACTGGGGATCGAATCCAGGGCTTCGTGCATATGAGGCAAGCACTCTACCAACTGAGCACTCCCCAGCCCAATGAGTGCTTCATGGTTGTTCCATCTCAACCCTAATACACATGTGATATTTGCTTTCAACACATTTCAGTAATTTTATCCATTACTCAAAAATGTCCCCTCTCTTTACTTCCTTAACTCAGTGTAGTTGTAAGAACATTATCCAGTCTCCTTTTTGTCACCTGATTTAGGGTGAATTTTTGGGGGGAAGGGTTACCAGGGATTTAATTCAGGACGACTTTACCACTGAGCCACATCCCCACACCTTTTTATTTTTTATTTTTGAGACCAAGTCTCACTAAATTGCTTAGGGCCTTACTAAATTGCTGAGGCTTTCCTTGAACTTGAGAATCTCCTACGTCAGCCTCCCAAGTTGCTGGGATTATAGAAGTGCACAATGATGCCCCACAAAGGTAACTTTTTAAAAATGTGAGATATTAATCATTCTTTTGATATGTTTCAGATAGAATGCTTTTGACTACAAGTAACAGAAAGCCAAATTGTAGTGCTTAAATAAAGAGGGTATTCTTCTCATGCAAAAGAGAAGTCCTGAGATAGGTAGTTGCCGACATGACTTCATAGTGTTAGATCTGAGAGTTCTACATCATATTTTTGTATGTTTGTTCTTCTATTGACCTTTCCTTCTTGGTGATAAGATGGCTACTTAAACTCTGTACATAACATCTGCTCTCACAGCAAGATTGGGAGAAAGCAGAACCACAATACTTCCCTTGAAAACTTCATGACTGACTTCTTAGATTCCATTGTCAGCCCTGGATCCCTAACCCCTTCTCCCTCAAATAATAAATACAAGGAAGTAGGTTGCTATGATCATTCTCCAGCACCTAGGAAAGTTTTACTCCAGACAAATTTGAGATTCTGTTAAGCTAAGAGAAAAAAAAAAGATTATGAATGGCAAATGTATTGTCTGCCATAGGTCTTCAGTGGCCAAGACTAAGAAAAACCATAGACAAAATCGAGCACTATTAGTCTGTCATTTTCCATGATAATGGTGGTGATTATTTTGATCATCTTCTATCTGTGATGAATGAGATAAAGCCAAACTTAGAACTGTAATGTTCTTACAACTACAATTTAAAATTATTATCACAACTTTAAAAACTATATAAAATGATCTTAATAATAAAGACATGAGAATTTGGCAATGTATTTCAGAAACCTTTCTGGTTTGACTTGCCATTGACTTATGGGTTTCATTTACAGGAATGCATTTGAAAGAAATAATGGCAATGGAGTACAAAGATTTAGCTACAAGTATTTTCCTTGCATCATCGTTTTGAAGAACAACCAAAGAAAGGAAAAAAGGGGAGAAAGAATCTAAACAACCAGCAGTAGGAAATGAGTTAAATAACCCAGTACATCCCTCAGCATAATATTGTGCAGCAATTAAGATAATGTGGTAGAAAATCATATAATTGCATGGAAGTATTACTGTCATATTGTTAATTTCAGAAGAGGCTATAAAATGAGATGCACAACATCATTTCAGTTTTTAAAAGAAATATTTGTACGTATGTGATGGATGCATATATACAGATATAAAATATCAGAAATTTGTATGGTTAGTGCTTATTTCCAGGTGATAGGATGATAATTTTTAAAAATATTTAATTCTAAATATATTTTCCACATTTTCAAGCATATGTGCTTTTATACAATAATGGGAAAATATTAGAAAACTGTAGACTTCATGAAAATTTTTCACCAAAGGATAATCATTTGGCACCTCTCTTAAGTGGTAAAGTCTCTGAAGGGGACCATTCTTCCATCAACACCCAGAGCTCTCTAGATTGCTTCCAATTTTTCATTATTGTGGGCAAAGCTAAAATTATGATCGTTGTGTTGAAGGCCCCCCCAATTTTCTCAAGTATTTTTGCAGAATAGTTTCCCAGAAGCATTATCACTGAGTCAGTAGGTATAAACTTTTTTTTCACTCATGATACATATTTTCAAATTGCTTCTCAATGGGGCTGTACCAAAACACAATGCTACCAGAAAGATCTTGCCAGCACTGAGGTTGATAATTGTATTTAGTGTTTGCTAATTTAGCAGGCAAAGAATGGTTCCTCATTATTTTGATTTGCATTTCCAGCAAGGCTGAACAGTCTTCTCTCTATGTTGTTTAGTTATTCTACTTTTTGCTCATGAATTTTGCCATTTATCTATCGGAATTTTCATATTTTCCTTTTCATCTTGTACAAATTCTTTCTGTACTAAAAATAATAACCCTTTTTTTCTGTTGTCCTAGCTTAGCTATAGACCATTTCCCCGACTGCTGTTTTCCTTCTTCTTTGGTTTTTTCCCCTTTTATGTTTAAATTGTTATACAGTCAAGCCTGTCACTTTTGTGATTTTCTTTGATTTCTTCCAAGTTTGGAAAATTACCTTCCCACCCTTCAAGTAGAAGTAGAAGTTCAATAAACATTCAATATTGTTTGTATCTAGATTTTTTAGTGTTTAACTTTTTTGTCACACTTACCCATTATAACTGATTAATGATTTAACATGCTGCTGGTTTGTGTTAAGGATTTAAATTCCTTGCCCTACAGTTTTCTAAAGCTATCTTAATTATATGTTGATAACATATAATTAAGATAACTTTAGAAATAACATATAATTAAGATAACTTTAGAAAACTTGTAGGGCAAGGACCCATTTCTTACCTGTTCTTTTCATCATGTATCTGCTCATAACACATCTTTTAAAATGAGTTGATAGGGTTTTTCCTATTTTGTTGCATTTTAAACTTGTTTTCTGAAATTTCCATCTTGATTTATGCCTGTGTAATATAAACAAAATCCTCTGTAGATTTAAGAGTTTCTTTGGGGGCAGAAACCAAGTCTTTGATGTGATTGTTTCCTTTCTCAGTGGACGGGGATGCACAGACCTGAACCCAGGGCTCATTCATTCACTGAGCAATCTCATTTGTGCCTGCTTTCTGCCAGGTGTGGAGGAAGGTGCAAAAATGAAGAGGCAGGGACTCCGCCATCATGGAGTACATGACATGAAGTTTTTCCTGAAGGAAGTTCCTTCCTGAAGAGGAAGGAGGCTTTGTCCATCCCTGCAGAGCTTTACATGTTTCAAGCAAATGATAATGTGATTTTCCTCTGACAGCTTTGGAAAGGTTAAATATGAAGCCCCATGGCTGTGGCTTTATTAACGGGGCCGGCAGCAGCAACTCTGGGCCAGAACCAAAAGGATGACCTTTTCTGCTTAGACCAGGATGCTGAGTTCACCAGCATCTGTTATCTGTCAAGATCTCCTTGAAGCATACTGCTTTTGTGGACATTGTGAAGATACTCAGAGGACAGCCTATGCTCACAAATAGATGAGTCCTAAGCAAAACCCTCAGAATTGTCTTTAGCCTTGCAACTTGCTACTTTCTGTTTCTCTTAGGAACTACATTTAGTTCTCCTTGCTTTGTAATACCAGGATTATCCATTAGAAACTGTTCTCTGTTCAAACATCATATTTGCTAATGAAAATCAGTCACCTTGTCAGTGACTGTGAGCCAGTGATTACTTTGATAGCTCTAGGATTTTAAGAATTTTTTTAATATGGAAATGTTAAAACATTTTAAAAAGTAGAGAGCACAGATTAATGAACACTACACATATCRCCTAGATTTAACACTTATTAGCATCTTGCCACACTTCCTTATCTCTTTTATTAGTGTACTTTATTTTTTTTATTTATTGGTTCTTTTTAGTTCTACATGACAGTAAAATCCATTTTGACATAATTATAAAAGCATGGAATRTATCTTGTTAATTCAGTCCCCAGTATGTCTCCTTCCCCTCCCTCACCGACCTCCCTTCCCTCTTCTCTATTGATCTTTCTGCCATTTACCGGTAGTTATTTTAATTAATTTCTTGTTGATGTACATATGGTGAGATTCACTGTGGTATATTCACATATGTATATAGGAAAGTTATTAGTGTACTTTAAACAGATTACATGATGATTAAGGTTATAATCATAGGCTGCATTTGACTATTTTGTGTCTTCTTCTAAAAAACCTAAGAATAGTTTCCCCAAGGTTTTGGGCATTTTTCTTTTCTGTGGCATTAACTTCTGAGAGTTCTTGGATCTTTTAAATAGGATTCATTAAGTTTTTCATGGATCCCATCTGTAATGTAGTTATGTTTCTCTTGATGCTTTTGTATTAGTTACTATAAACCTAAGGGCTTTGTTTGTTTGTTTGTTTGTTTGTTTATCATCATCAAACCAGCTTCAGTAGCTTTGAAACTGGTTCAGATCTGACATGGGCCAATAGTATTTACTAGAAAAATTTCTTGTATTCATATATTTTAAACCTCAAATAAAATTATCTTGAGTTTATATAGAATTTATTGGCTTAAAAAGGATACAGAATAATAAAAATGGGTTTTGAATAACAGCCAAGAATAAACATTAATAAAAACCTTAATAACTATTTTTGGTATTCAGTTTGCAGATAAGTTCCAGGAGGTAAAAGAAGCTGCCAAATTAGCCAAAGACAAATCCCAGGAGAAAATCGAAACTTCGAGTAATCATTCCCAAGTAAGTCATTTATCCATGAAACAAATCTGAATGTGATTGGTGATCAAGATTCCTCATTCCTTGGTGCTCTTGGCAAGAAATGAATTTTAGCAGCAGGGTTTTGAAGGCTGTTCAAAATAAGGGGTATGTGACATGTTTTTATTAGACTTAAATTTCAAGGCATAATACTRTAGTTTTGACAGAAAATGGTTGATGAGATTGGAATTAACGCATGTCCCTAGACCTTGAGAAATAGGTGGTGGTCATTCTGTGTTTAAATGTTGGCAGCAAAGCAGCATGTTTCCTTGCTGTGTTGGGAGGTGAGGTCTGTATATAGGATTCTCATTGGTGGATGCAGGCACCTTGTACCCATCAAAGAGAAAACTTGATACCAGAGAGCCCTCTGTCTTAGTCCTGTAGGTAGGAGTCAGGTTGGAGATGATATTCCCAACAGCTCTGTCTTAGCCAGAGAAGATCTGGCTTTTTCAGGAATTGAGGGTGTCTGTCTGCTATAAAGTATGATGAGTGGCTAAGGATTTACTTTAACCTAAAGTAAAAATACCAGCAYTGCTAGTGTCTACACTGATACATGTGGTGGTGATGGAAGGCTTGACAAGCTTATTTGTAGAAAGAGAAAGAGAGATTTCAGGATCAAGGGGTTGGAGTCAGGAATCAGCATGCTGTRTTAGCATGCAGTCAGGAGTCTGCCTAGCTGGGCTGAGGTGTGCTGTGGGATGTGTGGGGATGTTCTTGGAGATACTATGAAAAGACCCAGACTTCTTCATTAGTGGGTAGTTTATTAATTTTTTAGCTCCTTGTTTATTACTGGGTAATTGGTGGACATTGGAGGTTCTATGACTGTTGATATGGAATTAACCTGAGGGTTGTGTGCAGGTAGAAAGGCAGTTGGGAGTGGCTCAGGGCAGAAAGATTTTTGAGGAAGCTTTAGAGGGGAAGGTGGCTGGGCCCTGGTAGCCTCTGGCAAATAACGAAGAAATGAATGTCAGGGACAGCTCCCAGGAAGAAAGCCAGGAGACCCATGCATGTGAAGTGGTCATGCTCAACACTGCAGACTTTACCATCAGTCTCACAGAAGCAATAGCTGAAGCCTGGGTGCACCAGGAAGCAGGAAGGAGAGGAGTRCAAAAGCCCAGCCCTGGACAGTGAGCCCAGTTACAGAAAGAGAGCCAGTGAAAAGGCAAGGGAGGAAGGAACTCTAGCATCATGGAACCCAAGGCAGTGCTTTCACAGCATTCAGTGCTAATAGAGGAGGGGAGAGGAGGCTGAGAGGGACCCTGGTCTTGTCAGGAGACTTGGTGACTTGGGGTGTTTCACGGATGGGACCTATTTCTGTCTGGAGTTACATTCCCAACACCTTTTCCTAGGCTCACCATATTAAAGATGCCCCATATGGATTTATGGAAATGAAGTGTATTAGGCTTCAGATAGATGGAAACTTTATAAATAATCTATAATCTCTATGCTGTTTATTTAGTATTAACACTGTTAATTTAGTTTTATTAATTATTAAGTAATCTCTCAGGACCTATAAAATTGTGTGTAAATTTTACAGAAATTGTCCATGGTATAGAGATTCTAATAAAATGTCTTTTTTCTGAATACAGACTTTATAGTGATATCTTTAAACTTAAACATCTGAATTTCTCTATATGTCTTTGTTTTAAAATTTGTCCCCCCAAAAGTATTTTAAACCTTGAAAAAACCAAGTATACCCAATGTTTATCTATATATACATACACACACACAGACACACACACACAGACACACATACAACACATACATGTACACAGACACATTAATTATATTGGAATGAAATTTTGTCTCTAAGATTGGTTTTTATTTATTTTTCCTGATATTTCCCCAGAAATCGAGATCATTGTGCATTTTTCTTATTTTTATTCAAAAATCAGTTACTTGTTTTCCTGAATCTCTTTGACCAAGATTTCCAAGTAGTTGAAGATTTAAACAACCTAATTTCAAAAACACTAAAAATGAGTTTTGTGACTATAAAAATGATGCATATGTATTGTAGAATTAAAACAGATATTATACTACAAAAAAAGGAATAAAAATCATCTGTTTTCTTAAAGATGCCTTTTTGTAGTATGTATCTTTTTTTAAATATAGCTTTTGGGTAAATTTTTTCTATTACCCTTTATAACCTTTATTAATTTTTTATGTCATAATAATTTCTTTGTATTTTCAAGTATTCCCTTTCAAATCTGTTTGTCAGGATTTGTACCATTAGCCTCTTGTGATTTGGGACTTCCATGTTGTTTCTCATTTTTCATTATTATAAATAACACTATGATGAGTGTTCTTGCCTCATCTTTGTGCATTTGACAGTTTCTGCAGAATAAATCCTTGAGATGGAGCATGGGTTGAGGTCCTAAACATTCTTAAACCTTTTGATGCACACAGTTACACTTGGCATTCAAAAGTGTGCAGTTCTAGCTCCTACTGGCCCCAAATGAGGCTTTTTCTTCTCATACCCTTGCCAAGAAAAGCTTTGTTGATTTGATTTTTTAAAAATGTACTTCATTGCCTTTTTCTCCTCTTGTATTTCTTTTCTACTGACATTAGCTATTGTTTATGTTTATTAAATGTATACATTTCTTCTTTTGTAAATATCAATAGTCTTTTTCCTTTTTAAAATAAGTTGAGGAGACATTTCTCTTATATTGTATTGATTCCAAAGGGATTTACATATTTTTAAACATGGAAACTTTTCACATGTAGAAAGCTAGGCAGAATTATATAATGAACCTCCACATACATGTAGGTCAGCTTTAATGATTGGTAATCTGTGACTGGTATTTTTATCTATGCCCCACACTTTACCCCGACCCCGATATTTTAAAGCAAATCCCTGATATTTCATCTATAAATATTTCAGTATGTAGCTCTAAAAGATGAGAACTCTTTTTTAGTATAGAAAAGATATTAACATTTTGTTTTTAATATCTGCTGCAAATATTTCCCCTGGCTCTTTTTTGCATTTTAATTTTGTTTATGGCATTTTTTTGTAATGCAGAAATTTAGTTAAGTATATGCATCATTCCCTACATGGTTCCTTCCTTTGCCTTTATGCTTATTTCAGGCCAAATAAGATTTTTCTAAGATCTTATCCAAGACCAGATAGATTTCACCTCCTTGTGGTTTGACTTATCACAGAAAACACTTCGGGATATTCATAACAATGCTAAGTAGTAATAGAGAAGCAGACATCCATATCTTGTTCCTGTTTTCTTGATGAGTGTGTTGATCTAACTCTCCATATCCCCAGGATTTTTAAACTGTCTCAACTTGTAATACTTTTTCTCTATCTTCATTAACTATTTCTTGTTCTTTGGTGTTTGGAATAATTCCTTCTCCTTTTTTTTAAGAGAGAGAGAGAGAGAGAGAGAGACAGAGAGACAGAGAGAGAGAGAGAGAGAGAAATTTTCTAATATTTTTTTAGTTTTTGGTGGACACAACATCTTTATTTTATTTTTATGTGGTGCTGAGGATCGAACCCAGCGCCCCGCRAATGCCAGGCGAGCGAGCGCACTACCACTTGAGCCACATCCCCAGCCCCTCTTCTCCCCTTTTAACCTGTAACTTCCATCAGTGRTATTTAAGAAAACCAGATACTCAAGGTTGGTAGATTTTTCTGAAACGTTTGAATAAAAAGTCTCTGAGCAATGGCCCAGGTGTTCTCTTTTCAATAAAGTACATGGACTTTATAAATGCCATCTGGGTTTTCCAAGGCCTTTTCCTGCCATTACTGACACTCTTTGTTAGCTTGTTTACTTCTTTGTCTTCAGTACTTTCTGGTTAGATGGGTTGGTTTGTCCACAGTCACAACACACAGTTTCTCATTATGACTGATTTGCTGGCAGTGTGAGGATGAGCAATAACGTGTGAAGATAATTCACTTTGGCCAGGAATCTGGGTGTGAAACCCCATCTTCTACTCAGGCATCCAGCGTCAATGGAACGGATGATGAAAAGGCTTCTCACGTGGGTCCAGCTGACACACACCTCAAGTCTGAGAACGACAAACTGAAGATCGCTTTGACACAGAGGTAAGGCTTGTTTAGAATTCACATCCGAGCTGGGCACAGGCCTGTAAACCAGCAACTTGGGAGACTAAGGTAGGAGGATTGAAAGTTGGAGACCAGCCTCTGTAACTTAGTAAGACCCTTTCTCAAAATAAAAAGTAAGAAAACAGGACCAGGACTGCAGCTCAATGGTAGAGGGTCCTTGGGTTCAACAATCCCTACTAGTGGCAGAGATGGGGTGGGGGTCAAGATCCTGTTTTCTTCACATTCAGAACTTCTGGGAAGCTTATCAGGCTGAGCAGAATTTCAGGAAATTGAGAGAGATGACTGGCCATCTGCTTTGAGCATCCATCTCATCTCCCTGGCAAAGGGAGACTAGTTGGCTTCATGGCCCTTCTCTATCTGCCAACCCATCAGCATCAGTTTGTGTGTGTGTGTGTGTGTGTGTGTGTGTGTGTTGACAAAGTGTGTATGGTGATGTAATTGAGTGTGTATGAGGTATATGATAGGGTAAGTGTGTGAGTACATGTGTGAGAAGGGATGTGTGTGTCAGTGTGAGTGTATAAGTGTGTGAGAGAGTATGTGGTACAGCTTTGAAATTGTACTTTTTTTTAGAAGATACATTTATGATAAAATTGAGTCTTGACCAAGAAAAGCATATAAAAACCTAAGAAACTGTGATAAATAATATGAAATTACACACAAGTCAGAAACTTTTTTGTATACAAAACCCATCACATTGGTCATATATTTGAAGAAGGTATTTGCTTTACAATATGAACTGGAACCACAAAATACATAAGAATAAACTTGGAAAGAAATGTTCAAGATCATGTAAAGCAAACTTTAAGATGATTTTGAGGATGATAAATGAATCATTTAACAGATAGATAAATTCTTCAAGGTTTTTATTTTGTTTTTTTGTTTTGTTTGAAGTGCTGGGGATTAAACCCAGGGCTCTGCAAGTGGTAGGCAAGTGTTCAGACCACTGAGCCATGCTCCCARTCCTGAGATAGATTCTTTTTTTAAAAATGTTTTTAAATGTGGTGTGTCTTTTATTTTTAGTTGGGACATAATTATACATATTTGTGAAGTTTAGTGTGAYATTTATTACATATATATTATATGTAATGATCAGATCAGAATAGGTGGCATATCCATCACTTTATATTCAAACATATTCTATTGGGCCAGACATGGTAGTGCACACCTGTAATCCCAGAAACTTGGGAGTCTGAGGCAGGAGGATCATGCCAGCCTCAGCAACTTAGCAAGGCTTTGTCTCAAAATAATAAAAAGAGATGGGGATGTGGCTCAGTGGTTAAGCACCCTGGGTTCAATCCTGGTACCCACCCCCCAAAGAATATATTTTTWAAAATTATATTAATATAATTATATAAACTTATTTTTATATACATAGTTATATTTTAATATAAATATATATWTTTTTAATTGGGGAATGGTAAGAAGACTTGATATTTTCTAAGGTATCAGTTTTCCTTTAGTAGATCTATACATGTAAATTGATCCCTATACTGATATAAAGGTTTCTTRCATTTTTGACGACATGACTGATACTTGCTTTCCTGTGTCTTCAGGGCTGGCCTGTGAGTGCCTTCAGAATCATCCTGCTCACCTGGCCAGGGGCTTCGGCCAACTTCCCTTAGACTTCTCTTTGTGGAAGAGAAACTATCTTCCTCAGCCCATTTAAACTGTGTCACAGCCCATTTAAACTGTGTCACAGCCATCTTGGCAAAATTCTTCCGTTGTACAGATGAGGAAACTGAGCCAGTGATTCCCTATCCAAGGTCACATGTCTAAAAGTAAACCTTTCCATCACCTCATACTTCCTGCCCTTCAAAGCTGCAGTTGCAATCTCCTCAGGGATATCCCACAGTCACCAGTCACATTCTATAGCTAGAGTCACTAAAGGGCTGGCACCCATCTCCCCATCTCAAGTGAACTGGTGCTTGGAGCTTAATTCCTGTGATCTGACCTAGGAATTCCAGAAAACATGTGAGACTCTTAGATCCCGCCACCTACTTTTAGATTTTGGGTCTTTGTCAGGTACTTCAAAGAACAAAACTGTGACTAGTCTCTTTTCTTACTCATCAGGTGATTGTGAGGACTATTTTTGACTGTTTAAGTCACAGTGAACTGCCTGGATGAAAGTGTTTCACCCCTAAAAATAAATGTTTTCAAATCCTGGTTTAATAAATGGTGTGAAGCCATTTCCCTAAATCAGCTTAAATTCTCAGTCATCAATTCCAAAATTCATCAGATTTTGGAACATTTTACTGTTTTTTCAGTCTGTGGTATTTCAAACTGTGAATATGTATTTTCTAATCACATTCCTAAGTTCTTGAGGCTGTGGGCTGAAAGATAATGCAAATTATTCAGTCACAGTTGCATTTACTTAAAATTTTTGTTTTAAAGTCTTCAGAAAGAACTCTCTTCAGCCGGGGAGAAACCTGGTGGGCTTGTCATGTGCAGCTCTGCCCCATCACCTCAGTTCACATTCAGTGCCACAGATATGGGGGCTCCAAGGCACAGAAATTAAAGGAGAGTCAAAAGGGAGAAGTTAGTGAGAGGAACCTGATTCAAATTTGTTTTAATCTTCTTCCTCACTGTGCACATAGAACCAAAGGTAAAACAGAAAGCCTTTGTGATGAGGGTAGGGGTTTCACACCTGAGGTGATGCCCCCTGAGGTGACGGCCAGCCAAAGCTCCCTCACACACACTGAGGTTAGGAATACAGTTCTGCTTACCGGGGCCTGATTCCCCATTTGTTTCCTCTGTCCTCAAGCCCTTGATTCACAAATCTGGCTTCCTTTAAGGGCTCTGAGGAGGCACAGGTTACAACGAGGCCACTTTCACCCAGGCTGTTGCTGTGTTTGTGTTTGTGTGACATCCTTGGACTCTGGAGAGGTTCATGGCTTTCACGATATTCTCAAAGGGTCCCATGGTCTGCTCCAGCAATTTAGAACCTCTCAGAGTGCTGCAGTAGGAGGTTAGCCAGGAAGGAGGGGGAGGTGGGTATTTATCATGCTCAGCAGTCTTTCTTTTTAGAAGTCCATTYTTCTTTCTTTAAGAAGTCCATTCTCTTCTAAGGCAATTCTTTAAGAAACTAGCCTGGCAAGGTGACATATTCACACTAGAAAGTGGTGCCATTGACCCTCTTGGCAGTTGGTAGGTGTAGCCAGACCCAACCCAGCTCACTAGTGGGTGAAGGAGTGGGATCCCCTCAGGTGGGCTAAGTGGCAGAGTCCCCATTCCCCAGGTGAAAGGAGGTGCACTGTGATGGCTGGCATCCCCCTGCCGGCATCTCCACCACCACCTATTTCCTGCCCCGCAGTGCTGCCAATGTGAAGAAATGGGAGATCGAGCTGCAGACCCTGCGGGAAAGCAATGCTCGGCTGACCACAGCACTGCAGGAGTCAGCAGCCAGCGTGGAACAGTGGAAGAAGCAGTTCTCCATCTGCCGAGATGAGAACGATAGGCTCCGAAACAAGGTGAGCTCCTGGAACAGCAGCCAGCCGGAGGGAGGGCTGGGGTGGGCAGCAGGATGGGGGGTGGGCCACTGTGGTCCTGTCTCCTCTCCTCCCTTCTCCTCCCAGGGGCAGGAGAAAGACCTGCTGCCTGATGCTATTGAACATTCTCCATCCCACTGCTTTTCTTAGTAGAAATTTAGGCCATGTAAACTACATTTACCAAACCAAGTTTTATAATTCCTGTCATTAAGGAGAAGATAAATGAACTGGCAATTGTAGCTTTGTCCTACGCCAAGAGCTCCCTCATTTTTGGGCTGGCTGATTGTCACAGTGGTCTTTCCTTAGCACTTCTGTGACTCAATGATCTTCAGTGGAGGAAAGGAAGTCAGAGGATAAGTGAAAAATAGGCCCAGAACATCCTGAGGATCATTGCTCAGTTTCCATTCAAATCATTATTTCTAAAAATGTAAACCTAGGAGGGAGAAAAGGAATATACTGCTTAAAACATGTAAGGTGGTTGCTGACCACTGCCAGATGCTCTCTATTTTCTAACTTCAATGTCCTGCAATTARATTTTTTCCAGACTCACCTATAAACTTCCCTGTAATTAATCACTTTCTTTGTGGTATTGCTGAGTTGGTAAAGTGGGTTTGAGGTGACTCCCCAGACTTTCCTGTTCAGGTCTTAAGATTTCTGTGCTGACCACATTATGGTGGTGAGACCATTACCCGCCCCTCTAAACCCCACCCCCATCATGAAGTTTGGAGCTTTGGAGCATGAGCTTTGGAGGCTCCAGGTTTCAGGAGACTTGTCACATTTAGATTGGTGTCCACTGTCCCTTGAGCCATTTCTATGACCTGAGTGGAGCCGCTATAGACCAGCCCATTGTTTCACTCTTTTCCTTTGGTGCTGATGGCACATACAGCTGCCTCATGTCATTTTTCATCTCAGAACTGAAAGTGCTGACAGTCGGTTATCCCAGGCCAGCTGCTGACTTTGCATGTTTCTGAACAAAGCTGCCTGGCAGACCTGCCTGCCAGAGGGATCGATTGCCCTTTCATTTTTTCAAGCAAAGAGTTGAATTCCTTGCTTTGATTGGAGTATGAAAACCAAAGACAGTGTGGGGGAGTGGAGGAAGAGCATCATTCTCAGAGGAGTGTGGACTTCCCTAGGTGGGACACATTGGGACCTTGATTTCTAGGCTGGAGGGGGAAGTTGGTAGGATTTCCAGCCACAGTTGCAACCAGAGGTTCAGACTCTGAGGGGTGATGCAGGCCACCTTCCAAGAAGTGTCCTCATGGCAACCGCCCCGGTGCCCTTCATGTAAAGACCACTGCTGTCTGTGTGTACACTGAGCTGCTTTTGGGTGGTCTCCAAGAAATACTCAGCATCGAACAGTACTATCAGGGTGTCAGGCCTGCATGAGTAACCTTTTTGAGGAGTTAGGCCTTGAAGTAAGGAAAGATGCAGTCCTAGAACTTCCCATTCAGTCTCAAGGAAGAGGCCCACTGGCCAGGCCCCTTCTGCATTCATACACGAAGGAAGGTCATCTTGATATATAGTGTTTAAAATGTCATCACATCCCATTTGGTGGCCACTGTTCTATAGAGTTGTTAGAGTCTCTACTCTGCTGGCTTAAATCCTTGAGATGAAATAGAATAATTCAGGACATGATTCAAATGATATAAAAATCATTCTGGGGAGAAGCAGATCAATTTGGAACATCTTGCCTGTGATAGACCCTTAAAACAAACCTAAACTTACTCCCATGTGACCAAGATAGAAAAACAGAAGTCCAGAGCATTCTGCAGTCAGGTTTCATTACTTATTAGCCCTGCAAGTATTAAGTGAGGCATCCCTTACAAGCAGGGGTAGACAGCTCCATGGGGAGCCGCTTGGAGCGTGTTCATAACCCCAAAGAAAAAATATTTTAAGTGGGTTAGTTTATGGTTGATATTAAAAGAAAGTATAAAAATAGCTAGGCATTATGGTGCATACCTATAATCCCAGCTACTCAGGAGGGAAGAGGACCATAAGTTCAAGATCAGCCTTAGTAATTTAGGGAGACCCTGTCCCAAATTTTTAAAAAGGAATAGGGATGTGGCTCAGTGGAGAGCACCTCTGGGTTCAATCCTCAATACAAGAAAGAAAAAAAAGAAAGAAAGAAAGCATAAAAATAGCTTTGGCAGTCTCTAATGACTAAACTAGCATTTAATGTGTTTGTTGAAGATTGACGAGTTAGAAGAACAGTGCAGTGAGATAAACAGGGAGAAGGAGAAGAATACTCAGCTGAAGAGAAGAATTGAGGAGCTGGAGTCAGAACTCCGAGAAAAGGAGACGGTGAGTAGTGGATACTCTCTAAACATGGTCCTTGGCATTCTCTGGGCCTTGTGGAGTGACCTCTGTGATCTCAACCCAAGGACATAGCAGGTGGCTTGGGGCATATGACCAACTCTGGCAGCTTTCTGAACACCAGGACAGAGAGYCAGGAGTCACACCTAGGTACAGATACTCCAGAGCAGAGGACAGCCTCATCATTACCCTCTGCAGCCTCCTCATCTAAGAGTGACCTGAACATTTCTCAGAACACTTGGGCACTTCTATAGATCAAAAGTCGCCATCAAAAGTTGTTCTGCTAAGTTAATGCAGCTAGAACTATCAATCATGTAGTCATTTACATTCTGGGAGGCAAAACAGTTGAGTACACACACATTGAAGACCATGGGCAAGTTATTAAACCTCTTTGGGTCTCAGTTTCACCATGTACAAAACAGTAAAACATAACAGTACAAAACATAAAAAATATGTGCCTTTTTATGATGATATTATGGACTTCATATGGTCATGCAGAAACACACTTGGCCCTTTGAATCACCTGATAGTTAAGAATAGCATCATCACCACTATTGCTTATGCAGACAGGACGGGCTGCAAAAACAGAATCTATTAGTAAATGCACAGGTTGGTGATTTTCAAGGRTACGTTTATCTGATTGCTTTCATGTTCTTTTTTGAATTCCTGTATCCTCAAGGAGTTGAAAGATCTCCGAAAACAAAGTGAAATCATACCTCAGCTCATGTCAGAGTGTGAATACGTCTCTGAGAAGTTAGAGGTAAGAGARGGGCATACCTGTCCTGGCTAAATGAGAAGGCAATTGTCATGTTGCTGGTGTGTCTACTCCCTCTAGCTGTCACATCTAGGATGATAAAGAGGAGTGAGTTTCTATTTGTAAAAAGGTGGTGTAATCACATGCCACCCTGGCCTTAAAAGCAACTCAACAGCATTGGTCTTGTGGTTTTTTCGCTTATACAGAGGCATTCTATGTATAACCACAGCATAGGTGGCTAGTTATCTCCCAAAGAAGTTCCTACAAAGCCACAGAGACAATAAAGAGAGGGACAGGAGGGTGGCCTGAGAGTATAGAGTCAGGGTGCAAGTCCACATCAGCCACTTCCTAGCCCATGACTTTGGGCACTGACCTTGGTCAGCCCTTCCTCCCTATCCTCAGCTTTCTGATCCATAAAAATGAGGGKTTTTAGGTCCTCCTTCACCTCCAGGGGTCTCCTCACTTAACATACACAAAGAGCGCTTTATTGAGTTACACAGTTCCTGTTCTGTATTAGTAAGTAGTTCCTGGGCACATACATGTTCAAGAAAGTCCCGGTTTACTCCCATGAAATAAAGCTGTTATTTGTCATGAAGAGTACAAGGCTTAAGGCTCATTTAACAACTCATAGCCCTCCTGTCTTTGGGAACTGTATCTGATTTACCTGGATTGGATTGTGGGCCCAGCTCTGCAGAAATCTCCATGGTGATGGTATCAGGATGCACAGACTGCCTGTCCCCAAGCTACTGGTATGGCCAGTCCTCCTTAGCCAAGGGCCTGGGACTTGAGGAGCCCTCTCAGGGAAACAAGCCACTTTTCCATTTATTCTGTTTCTTTCTCTCTCAGAGTGGAACTGAAAAGTGGCCTCTGCTGGCCACTCTGGGAGGGGGCTGAAAATGCCATACCAGGATTTCAAGCCATCCCTGCTGGGCCCTTTGTGAAGGCCCCCCTCAGGCAGTTCTCTGCATTCTGCAATCTGGGTTAGAACTTGGGTTTTAAGGCCAAATGTTGGTCCAGGGAACAGGCAGGAAGGAGGGCTGAAACACCCACTGCCACCTTTCTGACATCATGATTACAGGCTTGAAGGGCATAACTTGTCTCTAGTGTCTTTGACCCTGGCCCAAGCCCGTGGATCTGATGGAGAATGATTGGTTCAGCTGTGGCAGGCTTTGTGGATGGTTCCCATCACTCTTTTCCAGACTCTTCTCCCTTCTGTTTTGTCAGGCGGCAGAGAGAGACAATCAAAACCTGGAAGACAAAGTGCGATCTCTAAAGACCGACATTGAGGAAAGTAAATACCGACAGCGTCATCTGAAGGTAGAGTTGAAGAGCTTCCTGGAGGTGCTGGATGGGAAGATTGATGACCTCCATGACTTCCGCCGAGGCCTCTCCAAGTTGGGTACAGACAACTAGGGCCGGGCACAGACCTGGGCCCTGGATCGTGAGTCCCACGTGTGTGTGTGTGTGTGTGTGTGTGTGTGATGAAATAGGACTAGGATGTTCTCCTGTTAGCATTGCTTCTGTAAATGCAGGCGCAATTTGTCTTGTTTCCAAACCAGTTGTGCCGTCCACTCACTCCTCTCCAGAATAGAAATCTCTTGCTCCTCTGGCCTCACGAGGTTGTGGACAACTGGAAGATTCTGACTCAGGAATCCAGAACTAGGTCTACCTAAAATGTTTACGCAGTCAGGGCAGGGATGTTTATATCTTTCTTAAGGGCTGTTGCAACCATATGAACCGAAAAACAAGGTAATTTTCTAATTCAAGTATCAGTGTCCCCTTTACAACAGGCCTTTTTGCTCCTTTTATTGAATAGCATTTGGAGTACACGATTGTCCACCAGGCTCCAGTCCATGGGGCAAGGAGGGAGTAACGTCTCTCACAGTAAACATTGAGTCATTTTCAAGCAACCATTTAGTGTGGTGACTTATCTGGAGAAAGAAAGCAAGTTTCTGGGTGAATTTTCTGGTATGGGAATCACTTGTATCCACTATACCCCATCCTCCCTCAGTTTGTATGGTTGCGACAATATTCCTTTTGTTGGTTTTAATTTCTGAGCAGATGCTTGTGCTATGGGAACAGCACATGGTGAGGGCGCCAAGCACACAGTGCCTGGCACAATGTAGGTGCTTAATAAATATTGTTCAATTAAACATTTATTCAACAGAATTTAGTGTTTTAATCAAACCCCACAAATAGAGTCCAGACCCCTGTTGAATGATACACCATCTTTTTTTTTTTTTTTGTGCTGGGTAGTTATCAGGAATGAATACTACTGTGATCAAACCTGAGGCTCAGGTGGCCCTGGGGCAGGGAGGGTGGCAGCAGAAGCATCAGGGGCTGATCTGAGACCCCCTGAGAGCCCAGCCATGGTGCTCTGCCCCTGGCACCATCACCTTCTTCAGGCATGGYGTCCTGGAGCCTAAGGATTCCAGAACACTGGCTGTCCATGGTAGGGGCTATCCAGGGTTTCAGAACTAGGGTGCGATCCTATGGTAGGTTTGGATAATTGAGAAAGAAATCATCCAACCCCATGATGGTGACAGAGTCCTGCTCAGAGGGTGGCCTTGGCCTTAGTACCAAAAAACTCTGCCCAGATTCACCTCTTGCCTCAGTTCCTGCTAAGGAAGGGCCTGGAGCCATAAACCTTTCCTCTGATACAGAGCTTCTCAGTGGGGCCAGTGACTACTTCAATGCCATTAGCATCCTTCATTGTGAAAGATCACCTGTGTATGGCAAGATAAGTCCCCAGTCCTATATGTTTCTAAATGCCTTGGGCAGAAGAGACTCTGGTGTCACCTTACCTCTCTAGAACTACCTAAGAGAATTTGTTCCTCTAGAAATGTTTTCTCWTAGGGAAATTCTTCCTGTCAAATTTGAATTAATGAGGAAACAGCCTGAGGAGGGGGTAGGGTCCACATAGACATGACCCAAGCCCCAAGGTGAGTTAGAGTCTGTTACTCCCCTTCCCCTAGCTGAGGCATCTCTGAGCAGGGAATTTTTGCCTAGGATAGGAAAAGAAAGAAGTCTGTTGATTTGGAGCACCAAGGTACATTAGGGGAGACCCCCACAGGCTAAGTGGGGGWCTTAAATACACAAGGCTCTTAGGTCACCCCTGCTGTGATTCAGGCAAGGGATCTGCTGGCCCTCTCCTCTCCTCAGAGCTCTAGATGGCTCTCAGGACAGTCAGTAGCAGCTCCCGACTGGCTGTGCCAGGAGACCAGAAAGCTGGGCTGGCCATGACATGGTCCTGGAATCCAGCAGTGGGTAAAACAGATTCTTCCCAGGCCAGCCTGGTCCTCCTACCAGCAACCTGGGCAAATGTYTTCCCAGGAGCAGTAGACACTGGAATCTCAAACACCCTTCACTGGAATCTTCAGATGACCACCACCTGTGCCCACAGGCAACTTATTAATCCAAAGCAGTGACTTTAAAAAATGTTGGAAGCCATCACACAGTGGGGTTGAGGTACTTGATGCCCATTTATCAAACTACTAAAGAGTTTGGCCACCATCTTGTAGCTAATAGGTGAGGAGCCTAGTTTCCCTGAACTGTTGGGGCTTATCCAGCCTTAGAACTGCTGCAGCCCAGGAGCTAACAATGTTAGGGGGTCCTTTAAAGTAAGAGTTGATTCTGCAGTGAAAGCACAAAACTTGACATAAGCACTTTTCATCCCTTCAACTTTCCTCTAAAGCCCATAGAATTTCTTTACTTTCTTTTTATTTTCTCTTTTGGTGTGGGTGTGTGTGTGTGGGGGGGGGGTGGTACTGGGGATTAAACCCAGGGGTTCTGTACCACTGAGCTGCATCCCCAGCCCTTGTTGTTTATTTTGAGATAGGGCTGGCTAAGTTGCCAAGTCTGGCCTCAGACTTGTGATCCTCCTGCCTTAGCCTCCCAAGGGATTACAGCCATACACCACCACACAAGACTTCATTTACTTTCTTTAAAAAAGAATGGTTCAGGAACAGCCTGGATAGTGAGTCAAGGGATTGGTCTTGTTGGACAGCCTTTGACACTGTGAACAGGGGACTCAGTACAATGAAAATGACCCACTGGATTTGTCCCCACTTTCAGTTGAGTTGGTATAATGTGCCCTCATTATGATGTCCAGCCCAGTCACTGGACTATTGTCATGGCTATAAGCTGCGTAAGCTTTTCTCTCATAGCCTTTGGAGCCACATTGTGCTGTTCTCCTGGTTTTGACATCTCCAAGACTGGCTTTCTTCACCCTGCTTAGCTTTCTTTCTGCATTCATGAAACCTGGGCCTAAAAAGATGCCAAGTAAAACTTTAACCATGTTGATCCTTAAAATAAACTTTGCTTTCTAGTCAAAATCCAGCTGGATGCATTTCCTAGATGGGATGGGAAAGAGAGAGGATGTCTTCTGGGTGCCCAGGGATTGTAAGCCCACTACAGTGGCAGGTTGGGAAAGCACAGCCAGGCCTCTAGGGGAAGAGAGCCTGAATTCACTCAGGACATCTGTGTGCTCCATCAATTCCATCTTCCCTGCATGCCATCGCTTTAGACCTCAGATAAGAGAACTGGGCAGGGATCGTTGCCTGCATTTTGCAGATGTCAAGTAGGGACAGTGACATGCCCAGGGTTACCCAGCTGTGATCAGCAACATGGGCTCTGCATCCAGGTCTCCTGGATTTTGGTCCACTATTTTTCCATGAGTCATGTCACTATTGTCCCTTTGGTGATCCATGGGTGCAAAGAGGGAAAAACTCTCTTGTATCCTCATAAGAGCACATTGCAGTTATATTATCTTAATTCATGTCCACAGCAAAGGACAATTTACAAGGAATGAGTCAAAATTACATTTATGTTCATTACAGATAATAAGTTCCATTTTTGAATGATTCTGTCTTTTTAAGGATCTTTTTAAGAAAGTATCAGTTATAATCATGTCCCTGCCCTAAGAGGCCAGTTAACCCAGACTTGTCTTGAGTTCTTTATGGATGGCTTTCATTGAAGCAGGGTAGTCTGTTTAAAACAGGTGGAAGGCCCTGAGATTACAGAGACATAAATAGCATCCTAGTATGGGGTCACCTGTCCAGGAGATTAGCCAGTGCTGGGAAGGGAGCAGACTTGTTCAGTGCTTGGAGCCAGTCACATGGAGCCTGAGCAATACCCAGAAAGACTATTCTCAGGGGGCAGCTGGTCTCCACCCTGCAGGCTCCATGAGCACAGCTTCATGAAGGTGGTTGGTAAGAGTCTGACTTGTTTATACCGTGTTTGATATGAAACACCAAATAAATGCAGTTAATGTGCTGCCCAGAAGAATCATGGTCTGCCACTTTAAAAGAGTTCTTTTTCTGTAGACAAGCCACGTTTTCTGTAGATYCAGGAGCAGTTTTGGACAAGAGCCAAACACAGGGCATGCCAGGGACCATATTGTGGGACCTTCCATGTGGCCAGGTGTACTCTTGGGAAAAAAGCAGCCACAATATGACTTGGTGTAGTATTTCAAAGATGCTGCCCTTTAAGAAGGAGCCAGTTCTACTCTGTTAATAACAGAAAGTGAGTTGTTCGTGCCATTCATCCTTGTAGAAATTAAAATTCTATTCACTGGAAACATGACAGGATTTTGAAGCATTTGGAATATAAACTGGAAGCATAAAAATTGGTGTCCATCTATTTTTAAAGTATATGCATGGTTTAAACAGACCCAAATTTCTGAGTAAATAGCTTTGCCAAAGAAAAATAGCATATACTTTGGGAATAGTGGGGGTGATGGCGTGGAGAGGAATCCTGTAGAGAAATATGTTATTTACATGCCTTTACCATACACCTATCCCAAGAATACGGTTCCTCTTTAAAAGGGCCTAGCAAGAAAATGTTAAGAAATTTGAGCTGGATGGAATGTTGTAGTGAGCTTATGACTGTGTATGTGTTGGGGAAGAAGCAGCAAGGGGAAGTAGGAAAAACAATAAGGAAGAGTTTTCAATAAAAAATATGTATACTTAAGAGGAGTCTTTATTTGAATATTTCTAGTGGTGGTGTTGTATGTTCTGGAATCCGTTTACCTGGAGTCTGTGGGTCTTTTGTTTTGAGTACAATTGTATGGTGCCCTACTCTACACATACAATTGTATGGTGCAGAGCTTGCTGCAGGGTGGTCTCCTGGGCCACAGGGATCCCTGACACACCTGGCAGGAGCCCAGAGCAACCATGATGGAGTCCAAACTCTTGTACATTTTGGCAGATGATTGGTAGGATTCATGATATGCAGCTGTGGGAGATGTGTTTCTGTGTTTACCCTCTTGTACCACTCCCAATAGGAAGCCCTGACTTTAGACCAGTTGTTGTAATAGTGTCCCATGATGTGAAAGGCAAGAAGACATATCTTATATCAAATATAAGAGTTTAGTAATAAGAAATAGGGTAGATAAGTGGACCCTCCCAAGAATACCTTTCTTTTTTCCTTTTTGAACAATTTTTAGGTACATAGGTAAAATATACTTTTTAAAAAAAGAAATTTAAGTGAAAAGAAAAAAAACCACCTTTATTGCACTGATTATAACCACTGTTAACATTTGATATATATCTGTTCAGACTTTTTTCTATGTGTCTGTATTTGATTAATTACTTTTTCCATGAAATATAATCATGTTATACATAATTTCTGTTATTTGCTTTTTCTCTATATTGTAAATATATTTCTATCTCAGTACATATGTAATCAAATGCTTTTTAACATCTACACAAGTTATACCTTGCTTGGATACTTAAGGCTGTTTCCAAATTTTTACAGTTTAGTCTAGGACATGATGAAATTCTTCTGACATCTTTGTTAAACTTCTCAATATTTAGTTAGGATAATTTTCCAAAATTGGACTTGTTGGCTCAAAAATGTGCTTCCTCAAATCTGTGGCTTCTTTCCTTCCTGGGCATACAGGAGACTAATTCTCCAGCCCCCTCCTAGTTGTCCAGGGTTCTAACTCCAGCCGATGAAATGTAAGCAGAAGATACATATGAAAATCTAGGCTCAGACCATGACATGCTCATGTGCAGTGCTCCAGTGTCTGTGTTGTCTTGCCTCAGCAAATGATGATGTCCCCGGGTAGAGCCTCTGTTATCTGAGGTCCCTGAGTGACTAAGCAGATCACTTCCTCCTTTTCCCTCACCCCCACCCACCAACCTGCATGGACATGTAA